ATGGACTTGTGGGTGTGGGGGCAAGATCTTGAACTTTCAACTGGGTGGGGAAAACCGGGAAGCTTTCAGATTCGCGCTTTCCGGGATGTGCCAACATGGCTCTCTTAATAAATTAGAACTTTGAGGAATCCTTGCCTTGGACTCTGATTTACTTTTGGATGCTATTTGGAACCCTACAGCCATATGATCTAGGGCTGGTGGGTGAGTAGGGGAGGAGCAAGTACAGCAAGGACAAAGGCAAAATTGACTGCTAAATTGGCCACACCTACGCAGTCACATGACCACCTAGGCATGCCCACCTCAGACAGCAGAAAGAGCCCCCGTCACCCAAAGGGCCTTTCATTTGTCCGACTTCTCTTTGATTTGTACCCGTATCAAAGAAATCAGGGGAATTTTTGCTTCTACCTGATTTCCCCTTAAGGCAAAAGAAGAACCAAAGAAATCAAAGAAATCAGGGGAATTTTTGCTTCTGCCTGATTTCCCCTTAAGCCAAAAGAAGAACCATGGCCAACCTTCCTTTATCATCTGCAGGTAACAAAGAAGAAACAAGGACAGTGATAATTGGTGAGCTGCCAAGGACAGAATGACTATTAGAGAACTGGAGGCTAAAACATTGAAGAACGGTTGCAGAAACTCTGGAAGTTTCTAAGAAGAGATAAGACACCCATTTGTCTAAAATGATATGAGGCCTCCTGCTTGAGTAGAAGGCTTCCGAGGCCTTTTTCTGTTATTCTGTTATAATAAGAAAGATGCAGGTGAGGTGAGATGCAGCAGCAGCCAAAAAAGCCAACACAATCCTAAATTGCATTAACAGAGAGATACAATCAAGATCGAATGAGATACTGATACCACTCTATAAAGCCTTAGTAAGGCCACACCTGAGGGCTTCCTGGGGGGGGGGGAGGCTGTTTTCCGTGGGCTCCTATAAAGCCTCTGGAGCCTGGAGAGGGCGAAAAAAGCATGCCAAAACTGAGAGGAGCACTAGCCGTGGGCGCATGCATGCTAGGATTGTGCGCATAGCATTATGGGTGTGGCACACCCACGAACGACCCCTCCCCTGTGCTCCCCCCGCTTTTGGCACGCAAATCAAAAAAGGTTCGCCATCAGTGACCTATAAAGTCCCTTCCAACTCTGTTAATCTGTGAAATGTGTTTAATCTTAACCCATTCCTCATTCCTCAATGGTCTTTTTTATTATAGCAACTAGGTCAGATTTTAGTCTGCAGTCACCTGAGGTGGAGGTTGCTGCTGCAAGAAGGACCCTCTTCTGCTCCATCCAGGGACCTTCCAGGTTTGAAATATAGAATGGCAGATTTCAGAGGTCTTCTTGTCTAGCCCTCTGTTGAAGGCAGAAATCTTATACCATCCCAGTCACATGGTTATCCAGTCTACTTTTTTTTATTATTATTATTTTCAAAACAAGACACAACACAAAGAATCCTCCTTTTTTTTACATACTGTAGAAAGTGTATCAGTTGATTACAAAAAAACTTTTGTGCATCTCTTCCACAGTCATCAATCATAATTCATATTAACTCAAGTATTTTAACTCCAACATTTATACATATTACCATCATCATACCTCCATTTTCATTGGACTACAATTGTTTAAACGTCCTTTATCATAAAATATATCAAGATTTAAAACATAACTGCATACTGGCATTTCATTTGCTATTTCTAAAATCTTCCAATAATACTGAATCCTTATGGCCTATTCTAGCTAAACATCCATAACAAAAATTTCTAATCCTCCTTACCAAATCACTGCTTACCATTTACATCCAGTTTCCTTATGTTGTACTCATACATATATATTTTCCTTTGTATCATTATCCCTCCTTTATTTGACTGTATCCTGTATCATAATAATTTCCCCCCTTATAATAAAAAATTTAACTAAATTTAACTTAATTCTTTTTATTACCCTTTATATATAACCAAAAAGATTTCTAATCTTCCTTTCATGNTAGTTTCATTTCAGCAGACAAGCCCAGACAGACTGCTTGTTTACTTCTCAGAGCAGCAGACTGTTTCAGTTTCTCAGTACAGAGCTTAATACAGTTAAGCCATGCCCAGACTTCTTAAGTTTCTGTTTCAATTTTTTATACAGGCTCAGATCTGTTTAAGGTCTCATTGGCTGACTTAGTTGCTATGCCTATTCATTGGCTGACCTTGTTCCCAAGTCTCTCCCTGTTGTGAATATTTAACACAGCCAGACTGGGAGTTATACTATTAGGCTTCGGTATTTACATGGGTGAAAGAATGGATTAGTTTGAAGCATAAAAGGTTATTAACTTTGGATACACACGCACACACACACACACACACGTATATGTATATGGGTTAGATAAATGGCAGAAACTGTGGGACATGAATTATAAATTAACAATGTCAACTGCATATAAAGAAAACCTTTATAAAATGTTTTATCGATGGCATTTTTCATCTTCAAGATTGGCAAATATGCTTAAGGACATGTCCCCTAAATGTAATCAGACACTAGGTTCATATTATCATATGTCGTGGACATGCCCAAAGGCAAAATAATACTAGACAAAAATACATACATGATTGGAAAAAATGACAAAGCAACACATAGATCTAAAATCAGAAATATTTTTGTTGGGTACCTTACCGGAAAAATATAATAAAGGGAATATGTACATACTTAATTTTATTAAGTTGTTTTATTACATTGTTATATTTGCACAACAATGGAAAAGTGAAGTGATCCGTAGAGGAAAATGTAATTTAAAAAATACTAAAATGTGCAGGAATGGATAGTTCAACACTTAAAATTAAGGAAAAGAAACTGAAAACTTTTTAACATGGGACTCATTTTATCAATGGCTAACCAACAGAAACAGAAGTTATAAATATGGAAATATAAGAGAAGGATCAGTTTTATAAGGTTTATTAAAACGGATAAGCAAATATTATTATTATGAGATCAATACTAATGTGATGAATATTATTGTAAATATGATTATTATTTCTCAAAATTATTTGTATGCAGACAATACTGTTTATTTAGAAATTGAATTTTTTATATTTAATAAAAATGTTTTAAAAAAACAGGCAGAAGGAAGCAGATTTCACTACATTCCAAGAAGAAACTCAGAAACTCAGAAAGGCCAGCTTGATCTGTAGTAATAGTAGCCTTTAGTTTACTAGATCATTGTTTGCCTATCGGAAGAATGATGCACTTTCCTGTGTGCTGCAACTTAGCTTGGTGCACCTGGAGGAGGAGAATACTCATGTATGGAGGCTGTATGCTGATTTTAGCTTGGTGTTCAACACAACCATTCCTCAGTATTTGGTGAACAAATTGGGCCTATAAGGTTTTAATACTCCTTTAAGTAACTGGATACCTGATTTCCTTACTGATAGGCCCCAGTTTCCGCAAGTGGGGAGAAAAGTTTCTAACTCCCATCTCCTTGAGTATGAGTTCCCTAAAAAGTTGTGTCTTGAGTCCGCTACTGTCCACCTTGATGACCCTCAACTGCAGTGCCAAATCTGCTACGAATCATATTGTGAAGTGTGCGGATGACACGGCAATGGATTGGACCTATCTGGGACAACAATGATTATAGGAAAGAGGTGAAGGCTCTGGTGGATTGGTGCAATAAAAGTTACCTGGTTCTAAATGTTAATAAAACAAAGTAGATCATTGTACATTTTAGAAAGAGCTGCAGTGTCATATTCCACTCAGTGTCAAGGATGCAGCTGTAGAAGAATAGAATAGAATAACAGAGTTGAAAGGGACCTTTGAGGTCTTCTAGTCCAACCCCTTGCTTAGGCAGGAAACCCTACACTACTTCAGACAAATGGTTATCCAACATCTTCTTGAAAACTTCCGGTGTTGGAGCATTCACAACTTCTGGAGGTAAGCCGTTCCACTGATTAATTGTTCTCACTGTCAGGAAATTTCTTAGTTCTAGGTTGCTTCTCTCTTTGATCAGTTTCCACTCATTGCTTCTTGTTCTAAATGATCAACAGTATTAAGTATCTGGGGCTGCAGATAATTAACAATCTCAATTGGTCTCTCCACACGTCATCCTTAGTGAAGCACCCAAACCAGCATCTGAATTTACTACATCAGATGAGGAGAGCATATCTTTCTCCTTCTGTCCTGGCCACTTTTTACAGAAGCACAATTGAGAGCATTTTAACAAGCTGCATCGCTGCTTCAGATAGAAGGTCCAT